CCTGCTATTAGCATTTATTGGCATGCTATAGAGGAAAAGCATGTAACGAATGAGTTTAATCTCCATCAGCTCAGATTCTCTGAACGCTTCACAGGAAGTATCTTCTGACATAGGATGTGAAATCTAATCCAAGGGTAAAACTAATGTTAGAGATGGACAGACTGTGGATTTAGAAATATACTATTGAGATTGCAGGGCGTATTTTATACAAATATAATATCTGTGCATTAGTCGGCAGATCAATGTGAAGTAATGTTGCCTGATGGTCCTGATGGGGAATATATTAGAAAAGTAAAACACTGCATATGACTTCTCAGTGTTAAGACTGAAGTTCATAGCCATTTTACATGTGTCTTTGCAACACATATTAAGGTCAATGAGAAATAAGGATCTCAGAGATGATGATACTGAGAAATCTTTTAAAATTTTTATTACAAATACAATTTGGCAAGTTGATAGAAATGTACTTTTTAATTATTATTTTTTATTATATTATTAGTATTATTATTATATTTTATTACCATGTTCAAATAATTGTATTTAATTGTGGTTAAACATCATGTAAAAAGTAATGGAATAAAATATACACATAAATATTTATACACATGAGATTTTGGCTTTAAAAAGTTTTCAAACATATTGTCAAGGTAAAATTTTTTTTATATTTTTACATATATCATATGTAATCATTAAAAAGAATATATTTAGAAACTTACTGACCTTGAAACAGTTATAAGAGTCAACAGGGTATGTGATAAAGTTTACTGGTTTGTTGTGTTCTTGTCACATGACAACAAAATGGCTTCCTTCATGTTTACACTACACTGTTTCTGATTCGGCAGACAGAAGTGTTTTAAAAAATAATACTTAGAAACAAAAATGCTTTTTTATATACTGTATATAATTTTAAACTCTTTATGCCAAAGTTCAAATCTGCCAGGGACACTGCCTACACCCTTTTTTACTTTAATATATAAACAAAAATATAAAAATAAAATTGAATTCAGGAAATTGAAAACATATTGTTATAGAAGTGTATTCAGGTCATTTGATTGGTGTTTGTATGAAATTTGTTAATTTTATAGATCCAGACGGAAAAAAAAGATAATTGGCCAGTATATGATTGGTTATTATAATAGCAAAAAATTAACAACGTGGAAATTACCAGTTATGTTAAGTGTGACGTGTGTTTTTTTTGTTATGCTGAGTTTGGATGTATTCGACACTGTGACAAAACTGTAAGTCAAACCTCACTGACAGCTCAATAAAGGAGCATATGGGAGGACATCTAACCTTCCATGTCCAAAATTACTCTCTCAGTTGGAGGCTGGGGACAAGATAACGATTAGGAAGCTGTTTCCCTGAACATGCTGAGAGAGATGCAAAACCAGGTTAGCATGATCATTCATCATCTAGTGGCTTTGACTTAAGCCTGTTGCCATTGAATAGTCCTCTGAATGCATAAACTAAAGGTGCTCGGGGCCATGATTGTTGCTGTCTTGACAAAGTAAAAGAAATTAATGGCACAATCTCTTGCGTGCCACTGGCCTTAGATCACAGATGCATGTGACATTTACAGTTAACGATTGTAAAGAGCTGTCAGAAGTAAACAGACAGTGACTAGCGGACGTGTATGCCTGGTTTATGAGTCACCTCTTATGTGAGTCTCCCAGCATTCTGCTGTAAAACCACAGACAAAAGTTCAGTAAACCAAGAGGCGCTCACTTAAGCAACAGAAAGGCAAAGTCTAACATTAATTTAATGGCAGAATGAATAACAAAAGTCACACAGACCTGAACAGTACAGTAAAATATCTGTCTGATTGCTGTAATGAGATCTAAACTGGCTTGTAAACAACTATCCTGTTACAAATGTGGTCACACAGAAAAACTGATTTGAATGATAATCAAGATCTGTTATGATTACATGAAAATAATAACCATCCATAGTATTTTATGACTGAGCCTAACTCCATATACGTTTGCTTGTTCATAACAAACTGTGGCACCTCTATGTCGCCATAAGCATCTGTGTACACTGAAATGAAAAGAAAAAACAAGTCTTTGCTCGATTTTTATGTGAGTGTTGACTGAAGAGTGGGCTCCATCTGTGTAAACTCTCCGAAATAGTGACTTCCTCTCCATGTCTTAAACAGACGCTTGAGGCAAACCGCAGAGAAGTCACCATACATGTCCCTGATGGAAGAGGACCTGAGATTACCTCAATATAGCCTATAAGATGCTCTTCTCTTGGATGTTCTCGAAATGCTTTCAGTGTAAGGAATACATCTTACATATATACATAATCCTATGGTTTGAATGCTTTGTTTAAAAGTAGATAAAAATAGCTTTAAATCAGCTGTTATAGGTCACTCGGGGCACTTCCTGTTTCTCTATGTGCACTATTATGTAAACGGAGGCAAAGCTTTCTCTGAATGCGCTGAGACTATAGCTTGTCCTCAGAAATGATCAAATTATTTTTTTTCCATATACGTAACACTTATTTGAACTAACCTGGGCATGTGAAACAATTCTGTCCAGTAGAGGTGGTCTCGAGACTTCAAAACACAAGAACAAGATCATTTCAGATTGTTCCCTTTCCAAATTCTTGATTGGCTTAAATGTGTACATTTATTTGATAGAAATTCCATAATTAGGCCCAAAAAGGTTTTTCAATTTGGACATTTTTCAAAGAAAGCATGACAATGATATGCTTAAACCGGATAAGTTTTTCCTTTGAGTTTTTCGTGTTCATTGTCAATACGATCCCCATTCACATTAGCCTGCATGGGTAAACCCAGACAACTTCCGGCAAATTTAGATTTGCTCTGAAAGTTAGTCTGGCAAAGAGCTCATTCAAGCCCATTTCCAATCCGTCGAAATCGAGGCACCAATCAGAAACGTTGGGGCGGGCTTTACACGATGACGACAGCGCTGGGATTTTGAAGCAGATTTTGTTGCCTACATTACAAAGATGGATGCCGCCGTCGAACATCACTCGTTCGAATCAGCTATCGCGTCTGTTTTAAGCGATTTGAACATTTCCTTTTTGTTAAAAACCGAGCAAAGAACAACACTCGCCGCTCTGCATACGTCATCTCCTTCATCGCTCTGATTGGGTTTAGGTCTATCCGCGACGTCCGTTGGTGACGCCCCTCTGGAAATGATTTGTCTATGACGCTTTGCCAGACCATAACTCAGTTACAACTGAGAATGGTCTGGTTTTAACCAGGCTACATTCACATGGATCCGCAAAAACGATTAAAACGCTGTGTTCTGCTGCCAGACCATTAGATGATGATGAAACACTATAGATTGAACACGCGATAGATACACATGTGCATGACGTCATCGTTTTCAGAGATTCGCGTTTTTGTTGTTTACACAGAGACTGTTTTCAAAAACTTTGTGTTTTCAGGCACCCCAAACAGGGTTTGGCCAAAACGCATAAAAAGTTTTACGTTTTTACCTGAAAACGGTGTCGTGTAAACAGCCTCTCAAACTGTGACACACTAGTACACCTTTGTGAGCTTGAGAGGAACTGACTTCATACATCCACTAAAAATGATCTTGAGACCAGTTATTTAAAAGTCATTGCAGAACTTGGATAGAAAAGTGAAGTTAGTTCTGAGAAAATGTCTGGCATCATTTCTTGCTACTTGGTTTGATATTTTGTAACTAATTCCTTGAACTTACCAATTAATGTTTTGTTTTTCGGCAACCTTGACAATTAAAATAAAACTTTGTTATTTAAGTGAATAAGCAGAATAACCAGACAGTGTAAAGTACTTAGACACAGTCAGTCAACAGTGTAGTGTTTGCCGTCTGTCTGGTCCGACATTGAATTGGTGAAGCTCAGTCATATCAACTAATTCTCATGGCACAGAGAAGACACATATCTCACTGCACCGTTAACACAGAACAAGGCCACTGTCATTCACTGTTATTTTCCCAAAGGGTGAAAAACGTAAAGTCCCATATGTGAGACATGGTCAGGAACTTAAACAAACAAATGGAAGCAGGCGGTGGTGTGTAGATGACAGGCCGTAATCCGCACATCGTGGAAGAGCATTCTTAAAATAGAAAAAATTGAAGTGAAGGCTACTACTGTGGTAACCTGAAATTTCTGGTTAGGGATCGACTTCCTCCCCTCACATCCTTATGTGACTCATTAAGAAAGCTGAGAGAATGACTGATTCGAGATTAGATCTGAAAACAGCAGCACTTACAAGCTTCAGGAGCAAATGTCAGGACAGTGAATAAGAACAATGAAGCTCAGTGCGATAAGATTTACAGATGTTTTTATGAGGCAGTCCTTCTTCGTATATTCCTGTGTTTTTTCTCGCCCCTCTCTTTCTTAAGAAAATCTGTGCTCCGTGTTCAAGCCTCTTTTTTTTTTTTTCCTGGGAGCAGCTCTTTAATCGTTGCCTTGGCTTTGACTTCCTAACGGTTGTAAACAAATGCAATTTTGCATTTCCTGTAGTCTAGACACAACAAAAGAAGCGTTGGCAAGCCGAGTCCCAACACATGCTTTTTGCGCACAGCTAACGGACTCCGACAAAACTTTTGAGGAAGAAAGAATGTGAATGTGAGGTGTTGATATCAGCCACCGTTTTAAAAAACAATATGTGGCTGGTCTTTCCAAAATAAAAGTGGTGCACTTATATAGTCTTTTCAAGGTTTTCTGTTATGCTTTAATTTAAACTTTATAAATGTTTGCCAGAATAAAATTATTTTATAGTTAATGCTTTCATGTTTAATATAAAAATGTACATCTATTAATTTAGCAGATCCTTGATACAAAGCGCCTCACAAATAAGGAACAATAGTGATTTTAATTGTTTCCCGTTAGCTAAAGTGCTTAGAACAAGAAAAAAATGTTCACCCTTTTCTACGCTCGAAAACTAGCTCTTAAGGGAAAATATAACCCTGGGAAAGCTTAGGCTAATATCTGTGCTCACCAGTATTTTTTTGTCTGTGTTCTCCCTGTACAGAAAATCTAAATGGAAAAAAAAAGGAAAAAATTCTCAGGGTTGGAGGACAAAAGCATGCTCCGGCCATACATCTGTGAGTTTTGAAACAAAGCTTTGTTTGTAAGCTTCAGTCACTTGTGCTCATGAAAGCAGACACTTACTTGAAAAACTTTCCCTTTTTTCAGGGAAACACTCTAAACCAACATCCTGGTATAAATTTGCAAAACGCAATACAGGCCGGATTGTGCGCGGGACAGACGCAGGGTGCATACAAATGGCTCCCCCGTCTAAAGTACCCCCTGTTTCGCTTCTGCCTCAGAAGGTAATGTACAATAAATCAACAAAAGAGCATTAATGTCTCCGTTGAGTATAGGAGAGGCTTCTGTTATTGTACCTTTTTTTAAGTATTTAATTGGAAGGGTCCCTTGAAACGTTACACGGCTCCTTCAGATGACTTTTCCCCAAATCTAAGAAAAGATTGATAAGAATTTCTTTCCTCCCTCTTTTAAATCTCTTCAGCTTTTTTTTTCTTCTCTTTCTTACATCCCTCTCTCCCTTTCAGGAGAGCCTGCGTTTTTTACCGAAGGGAGAATAAAGTTTCAAGTGCATGGCATTTGAAGGTAAGCGAGTGAAATCGGAGGCTGGTCGTTGGGGATAAGGCAAGGCTGGGAAAGAGGGAAGTTGGCAGTAGTGCCCAGCCAGACTCGGTGCCTTGAGCTCCCCCCTCCCTGCACCAGGTGTCTGCTACATTTAAATGATACTATTATTCATAGACAAGAGAGCAGGGTATTAAAAGTCCCCCCAAAAAATCATTTGCAATTGAATACAGATATAATCCTGGAAATATAAGTCTCCATTTAGGCCTTGCCATTAAGCTAACAAGGAGCCCTTTGTACAACATGTGTGTATTAATCACGGTCAGGGGAAAGGGGCAGGAAGAGAGAGAGTGGGAGAGAAAATAGAGAGCGAGGGAGGGAAAGAGAGAGAGAGAACACCATTCGTGTGTGTTCACATGCAAATTGAAATGTTGCTCATCAAAAACGAGCTTATCACTTTCCCTCTTGTTCTCGGCAGACTCGGCGGGCCAGCGCGAACCCGAAGTGCTTGAAACGGGGATAAACGGAAAATTTATTTGCATTTGTGAAATTTCAACACACTTGATTTTTTTCAGCTGCGCAATCTGAAGTGCGCGAGTCTATGCGAGATGTAAAGGAAGCACACACTGTGTGCAGATGTCACAACGACACACAGGAATTCACTCAATGAGCTGGGGTTTCTTAAACCTACTGTGTGGGTTTCATTTTCCTTCAGATCACTTTGATTTGTGCACTTTTTCAATGTGGCAAATAGAGATTTTGGAGGGCCCTCAAGGCAGCCCCCAAATGCCCCTTACAAAACTCCTCTCCAGCAATCATTACATCACCATTTCTCTAAGCCGATTTTCACCAAGTCTGGCTGTGTTATTAAAATAGTAATTAATTTTTGTCCAAGGGAACAAAAGCAAGTTTTTGTCCCCCACCAAGTGTCTCTGAAGAGGCCAGGGGTGCCGGTGAGGTTCTTTCTATCTAGTCTACGGTCTATAGAGGTAATCCCCAACAGTCTGGTACAGTAAGAGCGCTTTGATAATGGGATAGAAGCAGACACCCACACCGGATCGATCTGGATCTCAGGATGTGTTTGATAGACTGGTGTCATAAACAAGTGTGGCACAACAATAGCGTCCATGAGCTGAGTTGGGATGTCATTAATTTGCACAATTGATACTTCATAAAACAGAGATACGCACTCTGCTATGCTGATTACAGACTTAACTGTTAACTTTCACCTGTTAACTTTCACTGTTAACTTTCCCATTATGGTACATGGGAAAGTATTGTGGGAACTTAGATCGACAATATGGATACGGCTTAGTATGTTTAATATGACTTTGTGAAACAGCACTGCCGGACGTTTCCATAGCAGATTAAGTGTTCATAGTGAGGAGGTGCGGGGGCTTATGGGTAAAATCACTAGCAAGTGTGGCTTCAAGATCGAATTTTCCTTGGAAACACCAATCATGTTTAAAATCCAAGTTGGAAAGGTTGGGGAGGGGGAATCCCAAAGGAATAAAAGTTGACTTTGAGAGCCTTTGAGTTTCCCGGACAGCCCATCTGCCATAAAACACCATTGTAAAGCTGGACGTGGGTCCCAGAGATTGATGACTTGAAGTCTTTCAAAAAGCTGTTTGTATAAGTGGAGTTATGCTAAAAATGCGGCAGTGATAATATCGCCGCCGTTCATCCGAAACAGAGCATTACTGCAATGATAAACATTGTGTTTGACTTCATGGATTTAGTCAGCTGGTGTGCTTGAAAGACGGAGGGGGGAAAAAGTGGGTGGGAAAACATTTGCCTTTCTCCAAAATTAAGTCGTTATTTCACACAGCCATAAATGCGTGTCCTGAGTTACTCTGGCAGTCCCGGCTTCCCGTCAAATCACAATGGAGATGTCAGGAGATCATCTCTGAACACAAGCATATCCGCCCCTTTCCCACCGCAACACGTCAAAGCATTTACATCTTTCCATATGAACTCTGTTGTGCTGTAGTGATGTCATGAGAATCAATGTTTAGTTCTCGTGAAAACCTCATTAAGAATAATATTGTTACATATATTGCATTCTGCAGGTTTATCTCACCTGTAAAGAAGCAACAGGTCATAAAACATTTTTTTTTTACAGGCTCTCTGCCTTCCCCATGAAAACGACTTTGATTTTTTCCCCCCATGCGTTGTGGACAGCTGGGGCAGGGGGAGATTTTCAGGATCTGTGTGTCCAAGCAATAAGTGTGGGGCCAGTGCAGTAGTCACTGCAGGATTTAAAAAGACTTCCTCATGCAGAAATATTTAATCTCCTTTCAGAAAATAAAAGAGGGAGAGGGGAAAGAAAACCCAACATGAGTTTTTCTGTTCTTTATTACTTGTGCAGTATCAAAGAGTACAGCATAGTTAGTCATTGTTCCCCTTGTACAAAATTTCTTTAAGTGTGAAAGTCACGTTAATTGAAAAAAAAAATAAACTCTTAACAAATAAAAAAAGAAAAGGATCTGCAACATGTAGTAGTGAACTTCAAAATGCAGATCAAAACATTTCAATAAATGTATTTATTTATTTAGTTATTTACTTACATACTTTGGAGTTTTATTTTCAGTGTGCGGACATATTCCTTCTTTGTTTTGTGTCCTATTTTTATCCTACACCGGAGCCCAATTTTGGATGTTATTAAAATAGTAATTCATTTTTGTATGAGGGAACAAAATCAAGTTTTGTCCCTAAAGAGACCAGGAGTTCCAGTGAGGTCTTCTAGATTTTATTAAATATTGTTATATAAAATCTCACACATAAATCCATTTATGTAATTTATTTAGCATTACTGTTGAAATTACTGGAGGAATTTATGGGAAATGAGTATGAGTGTGCACCTTTATATATCCCCATTTCCCATCAATTTCTCCAGTAATTTCACCACTAAAAATAAAATGGGGTTATGTATAATAAATATTATATAATAATATTGAATAAAATTACATTTGTGTATCATGTATATTATTATATTTAATTCATATTCTAAAACTCAGACTCAAAAAATTATGAATAAATATTTTAGACAATTTCTGGTTCTCATAAATCAGTAGAACAGGTCCATAATGTAATGAAAACCTTTTGATGTTTTAGTTATAATGGAATAAAATGAATACATTTGCTTAATACGCTTTTAAAGACTGCTATGAGGTAAACAACCTCATTTTCAACCACATTTCCATAAGTCTACAACCTATTACCAGTAAACCTCAGTGTCAGATATAAGTGCCATATATGCCATTAACTTTGGGGATTTAAAACAGATTGGATAGATTAATTCACCCTCCAGACACCTGATTTACTCTAAACCTAGAGCCCAAACATTTAGCGGGTCATAGAAGGAAATCCTCTGGCAAGATCTTCACAACACTAATGACCATATCTGACATGACCACCACTGTCTGGCAGCGCCCCAACAACCCTGGCACTAAAATTACCTCAGGGTCACACTCCTGGCATAAAGAGTGGCGGGAGACAGAAAGAGTGAGCACCTGCATGCCTGATCTCAACCTGTGCCAAGCTGAGGATTGGCAGAGCATCTGGCACCAACCCAGAGAAGAAGGTTGGAGAATACACCAGCGAACATCATAAGCGAGGCTGACTCAGGATCCCGACCCAACCCCTGTCAGCCCCCCCACCCCACTCCCCCCACCTCCACCCCGGAGTAAACATATGCTGACAAATAACCTTGAACTAGTTCTGGCCTAAAAGTTACAGTAGTGAGGAGAACACATGCATAGAAGCCAAGCCGGTAGAAAATCAGTGTGATATCAGAGTTTGATTTTTTGTCTTATCGCATTTCGGAAGATGTTTGAATCTTTTCTGTTGTGGAATTCTCTATTTATACAGGCCCGAACACTGAATACTTTCCATCAATGTCGGTTTTCGTTTTGATCCCGAAATGCGAGAATTATTTAATCAATGTCCGCCTAGCTCGGAGGTCGGCTATCTAAAATCATTTCAGGGAAGTAATGAATACAACTCAGCCATACAACATCTGCGCAGACATGCCTAAACCCTGTGGACTTTCTATGCTCAATTTAACACTGACAGAATCATATCTCTCTCTGCCTCTCTGCCTCTCTCTCTCTTGCCATTCGTAATTGGCTTTGTCACTAAGCGCTCAAAATAACTAATCAGCGGTCATATATGCACAAATTGGCCACTGTTGAAGGTTTTGGAGTGTTTCTGCGATTTCAGTTAAACAGCTTTAGTGACGTAAGCAGTTGCTAATGAGCTGGTGGATTAGGTGCAGAATGAGAGAGAGGTTAACAGATTAGCCCCATCGTTTTGATTGATTATCAGCACACGACTCTAATTAGAGTGATTATTAGGAGCAGAGACTGGCTACAGAGAGGGATGCGCCTCTGTTGGGACAGCAAAATGGTACAGTGTCCTTAAACAAGAAATATGGTATATGTTTTAAGGCAATTGTTATTTATTTTGGATGTGCAAAATATAATATATCTTTGTTTAGTCCTATGTCATATTTCAGAAATATATATCATGTTCAAAAATCTACCTTATGAACCACATTTACACCAAAATATATCACTGCAATTATTGTTACTACTGTAAGATCATATAATAAATGAATCTTGGAACAAAATATTGTAAAATGCTTTTAAAATATGTTATTTTATTTTGATTAATTTTAGTCAACATCAATTGTCATTTGCAACAGATTGTTTCCATTATATATATATATATACATATATATATAAAACATAACATAATTCTATAACATACATTTGGTGTCCAAAGTCATTATTTTTTTCTGCTTTTTTCAAATGGTTATATTTTTAATTATTTTAATAATTTGTTACTCATTGTCATGGATCACAAGATGTTACAGGCCATAACAATATTTTCTGTAAAAATTGTCTTAAATAGCTGAAAATCAAGATTTCTTGTTGTCCGAATTAGTAGTGTATTTTTTTCCATAAGTATCATTGTGTAATCAAAATATTATGTTTTACCTTTCTTTTGTTAATATTTCTTTTTTTTTTCTTTTTTTTATAAAAGCCCTAAATAGTCATTTTCCTAATTCTACATTAAATTGTTAAAAAATAACTTTTTTCTTATAAAAATGTGTGTCCATAAATCTTGCGTCAATTCTGTTACCGTACCATACTTTGCCTTTAAATTGGTGGAATTATCTGCCACAATTATGTAAGATACAGTAAAGTATGTCACTTTACATATCTGATAAGATCTGAAGCACTGTATGCTCTCTCTGAAAAAAATATTTTAATCAAGTTCTTAAGAGTTATTTTGTAAATCGTCTAAATTGTTACCACAATATCAAGAGGAAAACAGACTTTATCAATGACCACACAGTGGGTTGTTTAAAAGTCTTTTAATCATGATTTCATTAGTGCCATGTGCTCTTAGCATTTATGCTAGCAAGTGGAGTTTTTGGCTAAAAAGTTTAAAATTGTCAATTCTGTTACAGTCAAACTCTGTTACCAAGGTAGAGTAACACTGTTGACAGTATGTAACAGAATAGACAGTAACATAGTTGACAAACAATACTATAAAATTAGTGAACAGTTTTTTTTTCTTAACTTTTTAAATTCAAATATGTATATATCTATCTGTATCTATATTTATATGACATCAGCAGAAAAATAAAAAAGAAATATTTTTTTCGGTTAAGAGCAGAAATGTTCATTAAAAAAGTTAAATACTTTATTTTGATTTCGTGTTGACACACCGTAAAGCAGGACTGTCATAAGTAATTAAACTTTTATTATCGTTTTTATGAGTGCATCCAACATATAACAAAGTAGTAGTTGGCACTGGAGTGCTTTTTCTCTTGTCTTTGGTGAGATTGAGTACACTGGTTCATCTGTGTCACATGTCCTG